GAGTTTCTTAATGATCTATCGGTCAACTTATTATTGTCTTGTCAAACAAAAGATTCCTTGTGTAACATATTTCTTATAACGCATATTATTATGTTTAAAATAAAATATATTAATTAGAGATTAGCGATCTACTCATAAACTCTCAAGGATCTAATTCAATCAAAATTTATCATTGATTTTATGTAATTAAACTGAAAAAATCAATATTATAAAAATATAAGAAGCATAGGCTATAATTGGCTTGATCAAAATTGAGAAATTTGTGGAAGTCAAAATTGAAAATGTTTCGATGGATAGAAAATGTGAGATAAAGGTTTTCAGTAGTTATATATTCTATTGATTCTGAATAAATTCTGTTAGGTAGAATATTAATAACAAGATAATTAAGAAAAATATGAGATCTTTTGCTATTTGCTAATTCAATAAGTCAAAAACCGAATTAGGTTAAAGATTCTATTTTTGCGCTCGAATATTTTGAAATAATTTTGTATTGTTAAAAATTGCCATCGAAAGTTTGACCTGAAGAGAAGTAGTTTACAATTAAGACAAAAAATAACTTGATATTGCATATATGAAATGTAATTATTGGTAATATTTTGAAATTCAGTTCGAATATGATGAGAAATTATCGTTTATTTATTTTTCTTTTTAATTGAAGTTAGATTTAAAAGATGAAGGATACATTGAGAATGAAAAATATTGTTTTCATAATTGTTTAAACAATTCTGAAAGAAGGATTTTTCATTGTAAATGTAATGCTACAGCATCATATAGTGTTTTATGGATTAGAGACGTACGTGACCAAAAAATGTAACTTTATCGAAACCGGCACCAAATTATAAAACCCAATGGGAAGCATTTTTAGTGAAATATGTTATAAATCGTGCCAATCAAAACAAACTTCAAAAGAGACGACCAAAAACCGACATTCGTCGACTGAATTAACGAAAAAAATTAGTATTTAAGATTTTTTTATATTTAATGTGAGTAAATTCTGAAACAGTTCCCTCTACATCTAGATTGAGATAGAGACCAGGGTGTGGGTGTGGGTGTGGGGTGTGGGTGTGGGTGTGGGGGGTGAGGCGTGGGTTTTGACGTTAGTATTACTTTCAGCCACATCCCACACTAACCCACCACACTCACACCCACATCTACACTCACACCCACCCACACCTACACTCACACCCACCCACACCTACACCCACACACCCACACACACCCACACGCTCACACCCACATCCACACACACACGCTCACACTCACACTCACACCCCCACCCTATACTATGTCCTAATTAATTTAATAGTTTAATCCATAAGGTCACCCGAAAAAATTTGCCTTCAAAATTGAATGGATAGATCAGGGTTCGGTCATTCAAAAAACGTGACCAAAACAAAAAGGTACCCATTCGAAGATCTTTGGATTGGTTTCATTGTAGAAATTGAATTTTGATTCAGATATTATTATGCTAAATGTATATTCATGTTTAGAAGTCTCCAGTTATTATTTTTATTGATGAACTGGATGCAATTGCACCAAAGTGTGAAAAAACTCATGGTGAAGTTGAACGCGCTATTGTTTCACAATTATTAACATTAATGGATGGTCTTAAATAACGTTCACATGTGATTGTTATGGCGGCAACAAATCGACCAAATTCAGTTGATCCAGCACTTCGTCGTTTTGGTTGTTTTGATCTAGAAATTGATATTGGTATTCCTGATGTTGTTGGCCGTTTAGAAATTCTTTGTATACATACAAAAAATATGAAATTAGGTGATGATGTTGATCTTGTACAAATTGCTAATGAAACACATGGTTATGTTGGTGCGGATTTAGCATCATTATGTTCAAAAGCTGCTTTACAACAAATTCGAGAAAAAATGGATGTCATGGATTTACAAAAAGATACAATTGATGCTGAAGTACTCAATTCATTAGCTTTTACACAAGAGAATTTTCGATTTGCACTTAATCAATCAAATCCATCAGCTTTACATGAAATAGTTGTTGAAGAACCAAGAACAACATGGGAAGATATTGGTGGCTTAGAAAATGTTAAACCTGAATTACAAGAATATGTTCAATATTATGTTGGACATCCGAAAAAATTTCTCAAATTTGATACGACGTCATCACATGGTGTTCTCTTTTATGGACCATCTGGTTGTGGTAAGTTGATATCGATTTTTTTCTTCTATTTTGATTATTATTTAATATTTGATTTTAGGTAAAACATTATTAGCAAAAGATATGGCTAATGAATGTCAAGCAAATTTTATTTCGGTAAAAGGTCCTCAATTATTAACTATGTGGTTTGGTGAATCAGAAGCTAATGTCCGCGATGTATTTGACAAAGCTCGTCAAGCAGCACCATGCGTACTTTTTTTGATGAATTAGATGCAATTGGTAAGATAAAAAGAAAAGTAATAAAGAGAACTTTTTGTTTTTTATTTTTAGCTAAATCTCGTGGTGGTAGTGCTGGCGATGGTAGTGGTGTAACTGATCGTGTCATTAATCAAATTTTAACTGAAATGGATGGTATGGATGCAAAGAAGTTTTTTTTTATTATTGGTGCCACCAATCGACCGGATATTATCGATTCAGCTATTCTTCGACCAGGTAAAGAAATAAATCCCCATGTCACTGGTCAAAACATAAAAAGATTTATCTAATGACCATAAAAAATATTGATAGACAATTGGTTTTTCATAAACTGTTTACCTTACAAAGGAGGTGTGTGTGTTGTAACGCATGAACATTGAACATTTTCAGACCAAATTAAAGGTCTCACTGCCAAACTAACAAATTTAAAATATGACATGCTGATAGCAAGCCTGAACTGAGATATTGGATTTTTCAGTGAGTTTTCCCTGTAGAAGCCCACTTTCTCAGCAAAATTATATTCTCGAATTTCGATCTGAAACTTTGTATACATGAAGGTCTC